TGTCATGATCCACACAATCAAAAGCCTTTGCGTAGTCAATATCTTTATACCTTTTGAGGTATAAAGGAGATTAAACATGCAAACTTGAAAGCAGAGTTGTTGGAAGAGACATGCCAAGCCACATGCCTAGGAACAGAAGTTCAGAGAGACAAGACCCTTCCTCCAGAGCCTACAGGGAAAGAACGCCTTTCCCTAGAGTTAGAATCCTGAATTCAGACTTCTAGCTTCCTACACTGTAGTCAAATCCATTTATTTGTCAAAATCACCATTTTGGGCATTTCTGTTATGGAAGCACTAGACAATTAAGATGTCAAGTGAAAAGAAAACCGAGTGGTGGCCCTTGTCCTTGGGGAGTGGGAGGTGACCTTGGGGAAAGCAGTAAATGGGAAGTGAGCAAGTGGAAACAGAACCTGAGAACTTCTGAGAGCCAGGCCGGAAGCCAGGAGTATGGGCTGGAAACGAGGCTTGTGATTCCTACTGCTCCTCTTGTTCTGCTTAGCCCTTTGTTGTTGTTGTTAAGTGTTGTCCAGTCTGTTCTAACTCATAGTGACTCTGTATAGCGTTTCTGAGGAGCAGCTAGTGGGTTTGAACTATAGACCTTGTGATTAGCAGTCCCATTCTTATCCTACAGCACCGAACTTAGGTGTGATTAAACCCTGAAGAGAAGGACCAGCAGGGAGGGAGATGTTTATAGAGACACAGCAGTGGATGGTTGGTGATATGAGGTTTAGGGGCTGTGAGGACATGGCACCCACAGTCCAGGAAGGGCTGGTCCTGACTCATGGAGAAAACGCCTCCCTCAGAGCCTGAAGAGAGGCCTGGGGACTCGTGGGTGCATGGGTGAACCTGTAGGTGTGGGGCACATAATTAAGGGATTTCTTTCTCCTTAGCCTTTATTGCTCATTGAAGTGGAATACCCAGAGCCTAGTGAACACATGGGATGGGTGGGAAGGTGAAGAGGGAAACTTGAAGGGTGGAGAGGAATAGGTTTGAAATGACCCCATGGGTCTCAGAAACAGCTGCCTGAAGATACATCCACATATTTCAGAGCAGTATGGAGTCCCTGCAAGCTTGGATTCCAACATACGTGGCCAGGACCTCCCTTGAGGAGGCCCAGGGTGAGATGGAGACAAGGTGGACATGTTTAAGGAGCAAGTGGGCAAGGGAATATGGGAAGGTGATGAGCAAGGGACTAAGGGAGGAAGAATAAAAACAGGTTAAGTGTGTACACACACGTAAATATGTGGGTATATGAGTGTTTACTTGAGTGTATGTACAATGTAGGTTGGTTAGGTACACGCAGTATAATATCCTGGTGTGGTGCCATAGGATAAGCACTTGACTTCAAGGTCAGTTTGAATGGCAACGTTGCTGGTTCAAACTCACCAGACACTCCTTGGAAACCCTATACAGAGTTACTGTGAGTTGGAACTGACCAGATGACACTTAACAACAACAACCTTGAGGTCAGATAAACCCATGCTGTGCACAAAACAGTCCTTTTGGAATGCAAAAGGAAGCTGCCAGAACATCAATAGACATGATTTCACAGACCATCTTTTTTTTTTACCAGAGTGAGGCCCTGAATGCATTATATTAATACAGATGTTCGTGCCTAAGTAAGCATGCATCAGTGGGGGCAGACCTTTCTTACTGATTGGGTATACGGTGGTGGTGGTGGTGGTGGTGTGCCATGGAGTTAGTTCTGACTCATAGCGACCCTGCAAAGGGTTTCTGAGGCTGTAAATCTTTACAGGAGCACAAAGTCTCATATTTCTCCCATGGAACCACTGGTAGTTTTGAACTGCTGAACTTGTGGTGAGCAGCCCAACTGTAACCATTACCGTACCAGAAGCCCTTGATTGGATACATAGTTTAAGGAATTTAGAAACCATGGGGGTAAGAAGAAACTGCACCTTGGGGAATCCTGAATGCTCACGGCTCACAGCCTGTCAGTCCCTGTCTTATACTTATATCCTGTGTTAGACTAGGACCGCCTAAAACTCAGTGACTCGGTCTGCTGCTTTCTACCACGTGCCACCACCCAGACTGTCCCCTGTGTCTGGGGCCCTGATTCCACTCTCACCTCTGACTCATCAGGAGCACTGCAGGATACTTTGTCTGTCCCCTCAGCCACTCCAGGCCAGGCCTGCCTCGTCCACCTCTGCCCTAATGCCCTAGACCTGGTACACAGTAGGTGCTCAGAGTGTATGCAGAAAAAATAAATGAATGAAAGAATGAGGACAGGAGAGCCCAGAGTGTCCCTGGGCTTGGAACCAAACCACAGTGTGTTTGTTCTCAGCTCTTTGCTCTTTCCCATCACATCCAGTTCATCAGCAGACACCTCCAGAATGAGCCAGAATCTGCCCACCACGACTCTCACCTAGTCCCTTCCTGCTGCAAGCCTCCTGGAGGCTGCAGTGGCCTCTTTTTGGCATTCACCCTGCCCTCTACAGAATCTTCTCCTGTTCAGTCCCAACCAAGAGTGACCATCCCTCTGCAAAACCCTGCAAGGGCTCCCATCACACTCAGAACAAATGCCGGTCCTTACAGTCCCCTGTCAGATCTCACAACCTCTGTACTTGCTGGTTCCTTTGCTGGAATGCTCTCCCCTCAAAAGAGCTAGCTCCATTACTTTGCCTTTTCTCTCAGTTGAAACACCTCTGAGAAGTCCTCTCCAATGATCTGACCTTATATAGCCACCCCTTGGCCGCTCCTTGTCTTCCTTCCTTCATTTCTTTTCACCTTTTGACATAGTAGCATTTATTGTTCATCTCTTTATCACCATCTCCCCTCTAGATTGTACGTCCAGACAAGCACCAACTTTTCTGTTTACTGTTGTATCCCCAGCACCTAGGATGGGCCTGACATGTGGTCAGCACTCAACACATTTCTGCTGGACAGATGAATGAATGGGCACTCAGGGTGCCAGGTTCTGACACTGCCCAGTCTTGCTGTGTGGCCTCAAGCCTGTTCCTGGCCCTCTCTGGGCCTCATTGTTCCACTCTGTACAGTTTAGGGATGAGGGTCCCTTCCATAGTTCAGCCCTCTGTGGTCAAAGAAGACCGTCGAGGTAGATTCTCTTTCTGCAGATACTGACAGACCTAAAGCTGTCCCATCTCCTCCAAGCCCTGTCCTTACCTTCTGCAGCCAAAGCGTGTTGTTCTCCAGCACCTTCTCCAGTTGCCGTACCCGTTGGCTCCGCCAGTCCCCCAGGGGCGGTGGGTCAGCCGGCGAGTCCCCTGGGAGGCTGTTGGAACTCCCGAAGGGCTCAGGCTCTGGTAGGCAGGGCTCAGGCAGCACGAAGGTATAACTGCACTGGCCTTGCTGGATTCTATGTATCCAGCGGGACCTGCTCACCTTCTGGCCCCTTGGCTGGGCCACAGTTGTGGTGGCCACCATGAGAAGAAAGCTACCCAGCAGCATGGCTGGCCCGGAGGGCATCCAGAGAAGTGGTGATGGGGAAGGAGTCTTGTCAGAGCCCCAAGGGACTGTGCCTGCCCACCAGTCGGCCCTGTGCCCAGGATGGACTTGCTGTGTCAGACAGGCCTGCCCACAGAGCTGCTACAGCTGCAAACCCCTGTTTGACCAGAGTCGTTCAGGCGGCTATTTATACTTGCTCCAAATACCACAGCTGCTCAGCTTCCTCTCACCGCCTCCTGCCCCTCCACCCCTTACCCCTATTCTTTCCCTCTCCCTTCCTTCCTCTACACTCTTGTCCTCATGCTGCCCGGTCCACCCACTGGCCTGGCTCTGCCTGCCTCACCTCTGGTCCTTTATTGTCCATTGGGGGCGTGGCCTCTCCCACAAGAGGGGAGGAAAGAAAACAACACTCCCAGATGCCCGTGCTCACACCAATCAGCAAACCCCAAGGCTGTCTGCTTTACAAAACCAAAAGCAACTGAAATCTTTCTCTCCTCCCACCTCTCTGTCTGTCTGTCTGTCGGTCTGCCTCTCTCACAGCCTCTGAAGCTGGGATCTCAAGTTTCAGTCCCTGAAATGCGCCCCCCACCCTTCAAGGATCCCCTTCCACCTTCTTCCCTTGGGTTCCCTATTAGAAACTTGGAACCCAAGTGAAGTGACACCCCACAGAGAGAGCCAAGGGAGGGAAAAGGGGAGGGGAGAAGCCCGGGAGGCAGCGAATCCAATTTGTTCCTGGAGACAGAGATTCCTTCCAAAGCCAGAGAAGGGGGTGCCCCCAAGAGCAGCTTGTGTCCCTTCTCCCTCAGGGCCTGCGGTGCCTTGGTGCTGCTGGTGGGTGTATGCTGTGAAATCTGTTCCGTCTCATAGCGACCCTGCACAGGGTTTCCGAGGCTATCCTATCAATTTTTACGAGAGCAGACAGCTTCATCTTTCTCCCGCGCGTGGAACAGCTGGTAGTTTCGAACTGCTGACAGTGAGGTTAGCAGCCCGAATTGTACCCACTACACTACCAGGGCCTAGGGTGGTGGGGCATTATGTCCTAGGATGGCCCTGGATCCCTGGACAACAGTGAAATGAAAGTTGTTCTGTCCTGGAGTTGATGGTTCCTGGAGCCTCTGGTGTCTGGAGTGGGAAAGTTGATTGTGGGGAGAAGGGTTTGTTGATGTTCAGTGTGATCAAGTCAGTTCTGACTCACAGTGACCCCATGTACAACAGAACAAAACATTGCTGGAACCAGCCTCACAATTGTTCTGTTTGAGTCCATTGGTTCAGCCACTGTGTCAATCCATCTCGCTGGGGCCTTCCTCTTATTTGCTGACCCTCCATTCTACCAAGCAAGATGTCCTTCTCCAGGGACTGGTCCCTCCTGATAATTTGTCTGAAGTGTGAGAGAGAAGTCTGGCCATCCTGGCTTCTGAGGAACATTCAGGTTCTACGTCTCCAAACACAGACTTGTTCCTTCTGGCACTCCATGGTATATTCAATATTCTTTGCCAACACCTAATTCAAATGCATTTATTCTTCTCTGGTGTTCCTTATTTATTATCCAGCATTCACATGCATATGAGGTTACTGAAAATACCAGGGTCAGGTGCCCCTTAGTCCTCAAAGTGACATCTTTGATCTTTAACATTGTCAACAGGTCTTTTCCAGCAGATTTGCTCACTGTAATATGACACTTGATTTCTTTCTTTTTTTATTTGCAATATTCTTAGTTGTTGTTGTTAAGCGTCGTCGAGTCAGTTCCAGTTTATAGTGATCTTGTATAGGGTTTCTGAAGACTGGCTGGTGAGCTTGAAATTCTGACTTTGTGGTTCTAACGGACCTTGCAGTCCAGCACATTAACCCACAGCACCACACCAGGACTCCACATATATTGTTTTCTTTCTGGTGTACGTCTTACATATTATCAAAAGGTTGAGCAAGAACTGGAGTTTATCTCATTTCTTATATATGTGAGGCTTCAATAATTCATAGAAAAATGAAATGGAAAGATAATGGAATTTTTCCATGAACTTAAAAAAAGTCCTGCTCATACCTAAGGTCCACTGTGAGTTCACATTTGTTTATTGAAGATGAGGACTATAAAAGGCTCCCATACATTTCTTATATTTGTACAGCTTGTCTGCACTGTTTACTGCTCATCTATGGTTAGTGAGATCTGAGGACTAAGGTTCTCTAATATTATTTATGCTCATAAAACCTCTCCTATACTGTGAACTGGTTAAGGTTAGTGAAGGATGAAGTCTAACCAAAGGCTTTCCCAAATTCTTTACCCTCATAAAGTCTTTCTCCATTTGAGTTATAACATGTTTATGGAGGGATGAGTAACAACTAAAGACTTCTAAGACTTTTTTTTCTTTTTCCTCAGCATTTAACTGTGAATTGAGTGAAGATTTACAGAGCAGATCACTAATTTTACATCTAACAAATTGTGCACTCTGTTTCATCTCAATGACTGCAGTCCCCTCAAAGTGACACCGCATGTCCCACTTCCTCCCTTTGCCTCTTGTTTCCATCCCTCTTTCTTTTCCATCCCTTCTGAACTTGGTCCTTGGGCAAATGCTGCCCCTTTGATATTGAATTGTTGGCCATTCCATGGTGTGCAAATCTCAATAATGTCCCCCTTCCCCGTATACCTATCTATGGTTTAGCTGAAAATTGAGCCATAGGCGTGAATTCAGTTCCAGACCTGAAGAGTCATAGTCTTGAAGTTCCACAGTCTCTATTTGACCAGTAAGTCTGGCTTTTTTTTTTTTTTTTTTGATGGTTTTGAGTTTTGTTTCACATTTTCTCCCAATATATCCAGGCTCTTCTAATGTTATCCTTTTCAGAGAGGTTGGTAGTGATTTCTTGACTGTTGTTTACATGAGTGTTGATTGTGGATCCAAATAAAATAAAATCTTTGACAACTTTAATCTTTTTCCATTTATCATGATATTATTTATTGTTCCAGTACTGAAGATTTTTGTTTTCTTTATGTTGAGCTGTAATCCGTATGGAAGGCTGTAGTTTTTGCTTGTCATCAGAAGTTCTTCCAGTCCTCTTTGCTTCCACAAGCAAGATGTGTCATCTACATATTGCAGGTTGTTAATGACTCTTCCTTCAATCCTTATGCCACATTCTTCTTCATATATCCAGGTTCTCAGATTATTTGCTCAGCATACAGATTGAGTAAGCATGGTAATAGGATACAACCTTATGTATACCTTTCCTGATTTTAAGCCACTGATGTGGCACTATAGGATAAGCAATCAACCACAAGATCGGTGGTTCAAACTCACCAGTCGCTCCTATACAGGGTCGCTGAGTAACAACTGATTCAACAGCACTTAATAATCACAACAACATATCCCCTTGTTCTGTTCAAACAACTGCCTCTTGGTCTATATATATGTTCCACATAAGCACAATGAAGTGTCTGGAATTTCCATTCTTTGTAATGCTATCTATAGTTTGTTATGATCCACGTGACTGAATGCCTTTGCATAAATGATAAAGCACAAGATCCATCTGACATCAGCAATGATATCCCTCATTCTACATCCTCTTTTGAATCCAGCTTAAATTTCTGGCAGCTCCCTGTAGATGTAATGCTGCTACCATTTTTTAATTATCTTAGCAAAATTTTACTTGCATGTGATATTAATGATATTATTTGATGATTTCTCCACTCTGTGTGGTCACCTTTATTTAAAATGGGCACAAATAATGGATCTCCTCCAATCAGTTGGAGATAGACTATTGAGTGTCTCCAGCACTGCATCTATTTGTTGAAACATTTCAATTTGTATTCTGTCAATTCCTGAAGACTTGTTTTTTGCCAATGCCTTCAGTACAGTTTGGACTTCTTATTTTAATATCATTTTTAAAAAATCATATGCTGCCTTCTAAAATGGTTGAATGTTGATCAATTCTTTTTGGTAGGGTGACTGTGTATTCCTTCCATCTTTTTGTGATACCTTCTGCATCATTCAATATTTTGCCCATAGAATCCTTCAATATTTCAACTTGAGGCTTGACTGTTTTCTACAGTTCTTTCAACTTGAGAAATGCTGAGTGTGTTCTTCCCTTTTGATTCTCTAATTCTAGGTCTTTGAGCTATAGTATTTAACTTTGTCTTCTTGAGCTGTCCTTTGAAATTTTCTGTTAAGATCTTTTATTTAATGATGTCTTCCAGTTGCTTTAGCTTCTGTATGTTCAAGAGCAAGTGCCAGAATCTCTTCAGACATTCATTCTCTTTGGTCTTCTCTTTCTTTCCTGTCTTTTAAATGACCTTTATCTTTCTTCATGAATGATGTTCTTAATGTCATCTCCTGGTTTTTGGCCATTAGTGTCCAATATGTCAAATCTATTCTTGAAATGTTCTCTACATCCAGTTTAGTTACACTCAAGATCACATTTTGGCTCTCATGGACTTGTTTTAATTTTCTTCAGCTTCAACATAAACTTTCATATAAGCGATTGATGGTCTGTTCCTCAGTCAGTCCCTGACCTTGTTTTGGCTAACGATATTGAACTTCTCCATATTCTCTTTGCACAGATACAGTCAGTTTGATGCCTGTGTATTCCATCTGGTGAGGTTCACCTGTATAGTTGCAGATTCTTTGTTTAAAAAAGGTATTTGCAATGAATAAGTCATTGGTCTTATTCAACAAACTGTCACTAAATTCTATTATTTAATCTCCAGCATGATTTCTATCACCAAGGCCATATTTCCCACTTATTTATCCTTCCTCTTTGTTTCCAATGTTCGCATTCCAAGCACCAGTAATTATCAATGCATCTTGAGTTCATGTTTGATCAATTTCAGGCTATAGAAGTTGGTAGAATTCTTCAATGTTTTCTTCATTGGCTTTAGTGATTGGGTAAATTTGAATAATAGCCCTATTAACTGGTTTTCCTTATGTGCACCTTAAATGAATGTGGCGTGGCAAGACCCAGAGGCATTATCTTCCCAGCTAGGAAGAAGGCAGGCCCAGGAAAGGCAGCCTGCCTTTAGCATGCTCCACCAGCCACAC